AGTCAAGTAACTTAGCTTGACACTAGAATAAGAGCTAGTCTTTGCCATTCTACTGTCACCTCAGAGATACAGACAGTTGGAGCTCTCACAAAAGCTGTTCATCCCTTCATACTGGCTTAGCCCAATTCTGTTCTCAACCCAACCCACAAAGCGAACAGAATCCCCAAGATTTAAGATAGTCTAAAAATTAAGGCATTTGTTGCAAAACCGGAATAGGAGGCAGCCAATTTCAGTTTAGGTGTCTTGGAGGCTGGAAAAATCCATTGCAAGTGCCATGTGAGATCAACTATATCCATGAAGGGAAACCTCTGCCAGTGGTCAGAACAAAGCTCCCATCTTTCTGGCTAAAACTGGGTCACACTCATGCTTAAACCAGTTGGGGCAGAAAAAAGTGAGAATCCTTCATGGCCTCAGGCTACTGATGATTCCCTCCAGGAAAGGGAGAAGTACAGAGGTCTTTTGAAGCACATTGGGGTTACTTTTGCACAAAGCAGGACTTTTCCAGCACAAAGACAGATGGCTTCTATCAGAGGCACTGCCTTGACAACATTCCAGCAAGGGTCTAGAAAATTCAGCATACCTCCAGAAGGCTTCCCATATAGCTGGCACTCAGAAGAACCTCCCCAGGGTGAGTGAGTGAGTGTATCAAGTTCTACTTCTGGCTGCTGGCTACACATAAAGGCTACTCTTGGAGCTTCTCTCTGGTGTCAGTTATTATGTTGAACAAGGAAATGGAATTATCTATCTCCCATCCTAAGGCCTTTCTCCACTGTGAATTTTCCAGTGGCGGATGAGGGAAGCCCTCTGCCTGAAGGCCTTCCCACATTCACTGCACTTATATGGCCTTTCTCCAGTGTGAATTCTATGATGCTGAACAAGTACATGTTTGTGGCTAAAGGCTTTTCCACACTCACTGCACACATAAGGCTTTTCACCATTATGAACTCTTTGATGTGCAATAAGGTCAGAGCTTTGGCTAAAGAACTTCCCACATGCAATGCACTCATAAGGCCTTGCTCCAGTATGAACACTCCAATGTTTAATGAGTCTGTATTTGTGACCAAAGTATTTTCCACATTCACTGCACTCATACGGCCTTTCTCCAGTATGGATACTCTCATGCTGAACAAGTGTAGATTTGTGGCTATAGGCTTTCCCACATTCACTGCACTTGTAAGGCCTTGCTCCAGTGTGTACTCTTTGATGTACAATAAGGTTAGAGCTATGATTAAAAACTTTCCCACATATGCCACACTCATAAGGCATTTCTCCAGTGTGGATTCTCTGGTGCTGAGCAAGTATCGGTTTGCGGCTAAAGGTTTTCCCACATTCACCACACTCATAAGGCCTTTCTCCAGTGTGGACTCTCTGGTGTTGAACGAGTGAGTCTTTGCGGCTGAAGGTTTTCCCACATTCGCTGCATTTGTAATGCCTTTTTCCACAGCGAGAGGCCTCCTTGCACTTGGTGTTGCTGTGTGGCTTCCACTCATTGTGAGGGGCATGGTGCTGGAAAATGCTTGAGCTGGCTAGGAAGTCCTTACAAGCCTCCCCTGTCACAAAAGACATCTCTGATGATTGGACAGTGCAGTTGTTCACAAGAAAGGCCCTGCTCTTATCCCTTCTAAAGGGTTTCTCTCCACTGTGCTGCTTCTGGTGCTGGTGAAGGTTTGCACTGAACCAGAACTGTTTCCCACACAGCACACACATGTACGGTTTCTGCCCTGGGTGTGTTTCCTGGTGCTCAGCCAAGTGCAAAATGTCTTTTAAGACCAGGCCACATGTCCCACAGGGGTAAGCCTTCTGAGTAGAAGGACCTCCCTTGGAAATCCTGATCTGTGACATTCCTATAGAAAAGCTCTGCTCAAAAGGTATCTCTTCATCCTCCATTCCATGCCAACAACCTGAAAGCAGAGAAATGCTGGTGAAGTACAAATTGACACAGGTGGAAGAGAGGAAGCCTCACTACAAATATGTGTCTGATGCAACTAAGACCAAGGTCATAGGACTGTTGTTAGGACAAGGGTCCAAACTCAAGTTCAGCAAATGTGTACTATACAGTAGTTGGCATCTAAATGTCATAGAATGGAGAAGGCCTCAACTGGGAGAGGACAAAGATGTGGGGTATAGCACGAAAAAGAGGCAAGTCTCAAAGTCATTCACAATCAGATTTTCTTGGCTGCTGGGGACAGGTGAGAGTGGTGCAGAAGGTTATGTGGTCCACACCAAAGAAAATCAAATTGCTACTCAGTAGTTGATGTTTAAGGACTATTTGGGCTACATATCTCATGAAACACTAAGTACAGGCCAATGTTGGAAAGCACTGTAGAACAAGCCATGGAGAGGAACAGGTGAGACATGGAGGGAGAGGTATGGAACATCCAGAGGCCAAAGGCCAGAGTATGAAAGGCAAGTGTATAAATGAGAAAGTAGATAAAAATGAAGTACGGCCCAATGGCCTTAGCACTAATACAACTGTAGACACAAAGAGGCTATGGAACAATATGAACCCAGCCCTGACATCACACTTTTCCCCAGTTCCCACTCACCAGGGCCACTCCCACCTAGAGTCTCTGTGGCAACAGGTAGGGTCATGTCCACCCAGTCAGGTAACCAGGGCTCACTACCCATCACCAGTGAGGCAACTATGTGGGACATGAAAGATGTATGTCCTAAGGGAAAGATAGAACAGCACTGGTATGGGTAACCTAAATGGAAAACTAAACATTATTAAAATAATCTCAGAGTAGGGTCTTGCAGGAATAGCGCAGTGGTCCTAGCAAGTAGCGACCATAACGGTCCCTACAATTCCTGGCATAGGCAGGCCACAGGAAATCTCAGCTAAAGGAAAAGCAGAGTCCCAGGCACAGAGGTGTCATGGATACAGACAGAGGCATTCAGACAGGGAAAGGACAAGATGGATATGACCCACTGGGCTGAAAATACAATGCTTAACTCCTGAATCCATCCCTGCAAGGCTCTGAGACAGCAAGTGCTGGGAATGCTCAGAAGGAGGAGGTAGGAGTGCACACAGCCCAAGCCCAGCACTCACAGAACCTACTCCAGGAACTAAGAAATGAGGCAGTGTCCATGGCTCTGATGTAGGAAGGACAAGGATGCCCTGAAAAAAAGGGGAAGGGCAGGGCCCAGTCCAAGTCACTGGGGTGGATGTGACGGCCTTACCCAGAGAGGCCATAAGTGCAAAGTTCTCCAGCATCACATCACGGTACAGGAGCCTCTGAGCCTCATCAAGGAGCACCCACTCCTCCTGGGAGAAGTACACGAACACGTCCTCAAAGTTCACCTGCCCCTGCCACAATTGGGAGAGCCAAGTCCATGAGCAGCATCTCTCCCAAGAACCCCCATCCATGCCCCCACACATCTCCCTCCTGTATACCCTCCTACCTAACTTCTCAGCTCAAGAAATATCAGGACCAGGTGTCATTGGTGTCTTCTCTCTCCTCATGGTCCCAATGATCACTCTGTCTACCCATAGCAACCACAGGCAGGTGAAGTTGTTACCCTCTAAGCTCTGTGCCTAGCATACAGGGCCTCACCCTTTGGTAAGCAAATTCCTCTGGGGTCACTAACATCATGCTTACCAGACAACCAAAGATGGGCTTGCCTTTCTCCTTTAAGCCCAGAGGTCATCAGTCTACACTTCTTTCCATATGTACATCATTCTTTGGATCACAGTTATCTCACAACTCTGGCTCTCCACCATCATTTTCCTGGCTCACTAAATGCACTACCACTGTGAAATGAATATTCTCTTTTAACTCCCAATCTACATAATTAATCATCTGTAAGCCATTTCAGGATGATTCCCGCCCCTTTGCTCTTGGTTCCCACCAGACATGACAGAGACCTGCAATTTCTTGAAAACTCCCATCTCAGTCTCACCTCTAAGTATTTGCACAGGCTGGTTCCTGTGCCTGGAACAACCTTCCAACCTTATTCCAATGGTTGGCAGAAATGGAAACCCCTCCATAAAACCCCTGGCCCGGAGTCAGGACCCTGGGCTTGGGGCTTCTCCAGAGTCCTCAGACCCAAGAAACTGGAGAGTAGCAGGAGAGTGTTCTATATAACACCACAATGCTGGACAGCGTGTTGGGTGGGGGTGGGATCGGTGAGAGCATGGACATTCTCCCCTCACCTGTATAGGGTCCATAATTACTTCTGAGTTCATGGGAACCTGTGGGGAAGAGGGAGACTGTGAGAGCCAAGCAATCTTGAGGGAACCCCAACGGCTCAACCCCATCCCATATTCCTACCCTGTTACAATGTGCCTGGGAGTTGAATGTCTGCCCTCTGTGCCTCCATCTTCAAGGATGCCTCTTAACTGTGTTACCTCGGAACAGTGCTCATTATCTGCCCCCATGGCCAACAAGAGTCTGCCCTCCATGAGCAGTCTATAGAATACTTTTTAAACCCTCGAATTCTGGCTCTCCTCTGTTCAGAACCTTCCATGGCTCCCATCACCCTCAGAATAGGGACCCAGATGCTCAGGATGATATTCCAGGTGCGATCACTTATAAAGCACTCTGATCCTTTCAGACACCAAAGGCCCAGTTTTCCCCAATGCTCCAGCTGTGAACCATCTCCGACTCTTTGCATACACTGGTCTCTCTGCCTGGAACGTCCTTCAACTCTTGCTGTCAAAATGGGTCCCAAGCACGAGCGCTCCCACTGTTCTAGATTCAGGGGCCTGAGCTGCAGTAACCCGAGGAGCGGTTTATTCGAAGCTTTCGGAGTCAGAGATGGGGGTCAGCGCGCAGACTCGCAGACGCAGCACCCACCTGTGCCGGGCCCATCGGTTCAGCTGCCGCCATCAGGCCTGTGGACTACGGAAGGGTGGCGACAAGTGCAGGAACCTGGGATCAGCCGTCCAGGGCCCAGTCCAGCGGTTAGGTCACTCGGGCAGCGCCACTGTCGAGCCTCAGGCCCACTTCTCTTCAGAGAAGAAGACACTCTCTCACGTTTTCCCTTTTCTGTCACCTCAGGTCTGACATTGCGTTCCGGAGACTAAACCAGTGGATTAATGGAAGAGCAAACAAAATGTCCACCAGAGGATGTAGAGGAAGTCCCGCCCTGACGTTTTCCTCACCAACGGAAACGCCTATTTCCTGGGCTTTCATTGGCCCAGAGCCGCCACGTTTTCTGGGTAATGTAGTTCCCACGGCACCAATACTAGTAAGTGGCGTCTCGCGTCACTTCCAGGTCAAAAGCCCAGAAAAGACCGCCAGGGGAGCCTGGAAATGGTGTCCCTTGTTCTCCAAGGCCCAGACGGAGCTTAGCATCCTCTTGAAGGAGCCATTTCTGTATTTCTGGTGAACGTAGTCTGTGACATCAAAGAAATGTTTAGAGACATGATTTCAGGCTTCCTTACGCAGAGAATGCTCATCAAAAAATAAAATGGACACACCATACACTAACGTCACCCAGACTTCTATAGCTGGAAGTTAACAAATATTGTTTGCAAATGCTTGTAGCCTGAAGCTCCAGAGTTAGTTTGGCGAGCCTCAGCATTTTCTGTCAGGCACAAGAAAGAAAAGACTCAGACACCACCACCATGTGGAACATGGAGTGGGGATGTTAGGTGGCCTTGAAGTAAGTGAATAATGCTTCTGTCTCTGGTTACCTCAGGGAATATTTCTCCTACTTATACAGCAGTGATTGTGTCAGACCCAACAAGTAATACTCTTGTTCAAGATAGTACGTCATACTCCATATACAGAGATGTATTCAATATTTTAAGTGTTTTACAAGTATCTGAAAAGACAATTCATCAAATGTCATATGGCAATGAAAAGGGCAACAAGAACACTTTCTGTAAAGAAGAAGTAACCACCAAACTAGATTTCTATACACAACACAATGTCTTTTATGAAAGTGTGATATAAAACTATTTGAAACCAAAAACAATAAATGTAATGGAAATACATTTACACAGAAAATAATTTTTAACTAGATTCAATGGGAATGGATGTAGTGGGACAACACATAATTAAGGGTTGACATAATTTTTTTTATCAATAGTTGTGTGTTGTAAACAACAGTCTAGCATTCTACCTACCTGTGAGGAATTGGCTTTATATTTGGAAATGGAAGAGCAGTGAGAACATGGAGCAGAAAAGGATGAAGGAGAGAAATTGAGGGGGAGTTGGTTTATGGGTTTGCTACCTATTGTTGTGCCTGTACACCAGTGTTGGGTCTTTGAGGAAGGAAAGAGCACAAATTCGCATGGGGTGAAGGATGAAAGTAAATCCTTGGGCTCCCCTACTCTGTCATCACCTACCTCCAGAATTCAGAGCCTTTTATTGTCATACATCAGGCATTGCTTCGCCACCATTAGTTTTAATATTGGGTGTCCCTTTGTCAAGGGAAATTTGGGCATGTATACGTGGCTCTGCCCAGAGAAACCTCTTTATTGTGGCTCTGAAGATCCTCTGAAAGTCCTTCAAAAGAAGGAAAGATTGGAGTATCAGTTGCAGGAAACTGAAATCCAGGCCCATCTCCAATAACAGCAGCTTCAGGATGAGTCCGAGAGAAGTTCTCAACCCTAATTTCTCCTCCATCTCCTATTCCGTTACCTCCATCTCCATCATCATCTCCATCTCCATCATCATCTCCATCTCCATCATTATCTGTCATCTCCAATCTCTATCTCCGAATTTATGCCCACTTCCTCCAAGTTTGGAGCCATGGGAACTACATTGTCCAAAAGGCGCCACGCCGGGAGGTGGAGATCCTTGGCCAATAAAAAGAGGCCTGCTCGAGTGTGCGACGCGCAATGGGCGGGATTTCCGGCGTCTCTCTTTGGCGTTCAGGTTCGCGACTCTCAGGTGAACTGAGCCCGCGGAAAGCTGGTGGTGGGTTGAGGCGACCAGCGCCGGAAGGGGCCGTGGCGACGTGCTCTGTTCTCGCCGCTCAGAGGCGGGTCTGAGGCTCGGTGGCGGCGCCCAGGGTCGCCCTACCCGCTCTACCCACAGGCTCGGATGGCGGCGGCCGCGCTGAGGGACCCGACTCAGGTGAGCGCCGCGTCCTCCCGGCCTCCCTGGAATCCTAAAGCCCTGTGAGGGCCGCTTGCTCAGGTCCCCGGGTGCAGAACTGTGGGGCGTTCGTGGGCGGGGTCCCGTTTCTGACACGCAGTGTGATGGGGTGGGAATGGAGGGCAAGGGGTCCGGCTCGCAAAGATGTAAGGCGCGCTCAGCGAGTCCCGAACCTGAGGCCTCCGGGTGTCTGTAGTAGGCAGCTTGGGAAGGGACCAGTCGCGTGTGGCGCGACAGCCCGAGCAGCTGCCCCTTCATCCTGAGGGCACCACAGTGGCCGCGGAGGGCTAGAGACAGAAGAGTGACACGATCTGTATCTCAAAGTTTGCCAAAGTCCCCTCAAGGCAAAACACAGTGGGGTGGGGGTGAGGCGGGTGAGGACAGACCTGTGAGTAGGTAAATTCAGTAGACTGGTAGAGAATCTACTAGGACTGGGCCATAGAGGAGGGGAAGTGATCAGATCTTGGATGCATTTCAAAAACTGAACAGACAGGAATTCCTGCTGCATCACATGTGACTATGAACGAAAGTAGGGAATGAAGAGCCATTCTGGATTTCTATTTGCATTTTTGTTTGTTTGTTCCTGAATATCAGGAAGGATGGAGATTGGGAAGGCTGTGCAGGGAGTAGGTTTTGGCCATGGTGATCCTGAGATGACCCAGAATGGAGGTGTCGTGTCCACATGGGCAGCTTGCTCACTCACATCTGGAGGTTTGGGGAGGGATCTGGGCTGGAGATATCCAAGAGGTGGTGGGTAGAGGCCTGGACTAGGGTAAGGCGTGGGACTCCTATTTAGGAGGGAGAATCTTAAGGTTTCCTTTCAGATGGGCCCTAAGGTGAGAGAAGGGAGAGATGGCCCTGTAGGAAGGGGCTGCCTCTATAGCATGGAGTTTTGCGGTCTGAAGTGGTTCTGTCTGATGTCTGCAGGAATGGAGGGTTATAGAGTATGAAGACCCAGGACTGGATGGAGACTGCAGTGTTGGGTAGTATATAGGTTTGCCACTCTAGGCTCAGCAGTTCCTCATGTCCAGTCCATGTGGAGAAAAGGAAAGGTCAGCCAGGCTGGTGGAGCAGCCCCTTTGGTGCCTAAGTTTCCCTAGCCATCAGCACAGGAGGGATGATCAACTGCTCCAGTAGAAGGGCTCTCAGCAGGATTGCCTTCAGGGGAGTATATAGCAGGCAGCCAGGTTGCCAAAAGGAATGGTGTCCGCTCAGGTTTCTCAGACCCAGGTCCCAGTTTATTAATTTGTGAATTTATGAGGTACGTACTTATTTAAGCACTAATTGATCATAGTTCGTATACACACGGGCAAATAAAACCACACGGATTTATTAAGTTAAACTGATATAAGCACTTCATAATTGATTGTAAACTTAATATACTGGAAAGTATTTGATTATAACACCCTAAGTATCACATTCTTAATTTAAAAGTAAGTTTAAGAAACCCGTATTTTCTTTTCTTTTCTTTTTTTTTTGAGACAGAGTTTCGCTTTTGTTGCCCAGGCTAAACTGCAATGGTGCAGTCTCTGCTCACTGCAACCTCTGCCTGCCAGGTTCAAGAGATTCCCCTGCCTCTGCCTCTGCCTCCTGAGTACTGGGATTACAGGCATGCACCACCACACCCAGCTAATTTTTATGTTTTTAGTAGAGACGAGGTTTCGCCATGTTAGCCAGGCTGGTCTCAAACTCCTGATCTTAGGTGATACACCCACCTCGACCTCCCAAAGTGTTGGGATTACAGGCTTGAGCCACTGCGCCTAGCCAGAAACCCATATTTTCAAAACCTACCAGTTTATTTGCACTGAAAATGTTTACAGAAGCATTAATTATGTGTACAGTAGGAGTTGATACTTAGTCCTAGACACATGAGAATGAGTTTGATACAAACAATAGTCCTATTGAGTGAATACCATTATTATTGCCATGTTGCAGATGGCAACACCAAGGCACAGGGAGGTTGAGCATTTTTGCAAGGGCACACAACAGGTAAGAGGCATCACTAAGAACCAAAGCCCAGATTGTAGATACTCAGGCACACCTGACTCCAGGCTAGATGAGGGGGCTTGGATGATCCTTTGGCAACATCACTATCTGGTTCTCATTGCCTTGATTTTCCATAGGTTCTTGTGACTGCAGAGTTATTTACATACCATGAGGAGGTAAGTGGAGGATGTCTCAGGTCCTCACCCTGCTCAACTCCTACCTACATGGTCTTCAGAATTATGGTGTCTTGAGGCTTGCTATTCTCCCTATCCTTCCAATTGAGTTCCCTGGAAGATAGACACACAAAGTTAGGGCCTGAGTCCAGACCATATTATTATTATTATTTTCTTTTGAGACAGAGTTTTGCTCTTGTTGCCCAGGCTGGAGTGCAAAGGCACGATCTCGGCTCACTGCAACCTCTGGCTTCCGGGTTCAAGCCATTCTTCTGTCTGAGCCTCCTGAGTAGCTGGGATTACAGGCATGCATCACCACACAGGCTAATTTTGTATTTTTGGTAGAGACAGGTTTCTCCACATTGGTTAGGCTGGTCTCAAACTCTCGACCTCAGGTGATCCGCCTGCCTCAGCCTCCCAAAGTGCAGGGATTATAAGCGTGAGCCACCATGCCCAGCCCAGGTTATATATTATATGGAGAGGTTCTCATTTCTGGCAACCAATGACAGGAGGTTTAGAAGGTTTAGTGATCAACATTAGAAAATACCTGTAGGTAAGGTTGAACTGGGAATGCTTAGGCAACCTTAGATCTCCATTACGTCTGGCGGAAGCATCAGCAGGTATAAGGCAGACCTGAAGTGGTTGAATAAGGAGCCGAGCTGAGGTGTCCAGATATGCGTGCAATTCCAAGTAGCTGAAGATAAAGCAAGAAAAAGAGCCAGGTAGGGAGGCCTTCAAAGTGGTACTGAGGGCTGCCCCTGGCAGTCAGTGCCCTTGGAGGACTGGGATGGCATGGAGTTCTGATTGCATTTGGTAAGTGCCCTCTGGATGCCATGTGTAGACTAAAATATGGTGACACTAGGGGAGGCACATAAGGTGGTGTCGGAGGCACTGAATGTGGTACAGAGTATGTGCACATTCTAGTGAGTGTAAACGGATGTCCCTAGGACCTTGTATTGGGGGCTTCAGGGAGAACACTGACACAAATTTAATTGTATTTGGGAAACACAATCTGGGGGATCCAAGGTGAGTTGTGTGGCTAGAGAAGAGTAGGACTCTGCATACCATACCCAGAGCTGAAATGGACTATATCTGCTTACCTGCCTGTGCTTGCTCAGTGGGAACACGAGGAGAGAGGGGGCATCAGTGGTTCTGGGGCAGGGTCTCTCCTTTGAGATGGGGATTGAGGAAGAGGGTGAGCAGGGGTGGATGTTTAGGGGGATGCCTAAATTCCCCAGTAAGGAGGCCACAGATAAACTCAACTCTCTCCATCTTAGCAGGGCTATGTGACCTTTGAGGACGTAGCTGTCTACTTCTCCCAGGAGGAATGGAGATTGCTTGATGAGGCTCAGAGGCTCCTCTGCCGCAATGTGATGCTGGAGAACTTTTCACTTCTGGCCTCTCTGGGTAAGTTTCTCACAGCCCACCCCAGCATCCTGGGCTGGACTTGGCTCTTCCTCCTTTTCCTAGTGACAGGTCTGTTCTTCCCAAAGCTGAATTGTGGGCACTCATTCCTTCTCCAGGATCTTGAAGTAGCTACTGTAGTCAGCCTGGGCTGCGTATACTACCATCTTCTCTCCCCGAGCTGCCCCAGAGCTGTGTAGGAAAGAGTTTGGGGGTCACGAGTCTTTCAGTCAGCTTGATGGGTCTTAACCCTGGTGGCCTCTCTGTGGCCTGGTGACACTGTGCAGATCTGTGGTAATTCTATTCTGCTACATTCTGCCTGCCTCCTCTAGCCAACATACCTGGGTGTCTGTCTGTGCCAGCAATTGAGTCACCAATGTGATTACTGTTTGACTGGGTTGTTCCTGTAAGACCCTCCTCCAAGGTTCTTTCTGTACTATGTTGTTTTCTTTCCTGTGGTCCATGATGGGATAGGTCATTCTGGCTCAGTGCTGCCACTCACCTGTTGTTTTCCTTAGGACTTGCATCTTCCAAGACCCATGATATAACCCAGCTGGAGTCATGGAAGGAGCCCTTCATGCCTGCCTCGGAAGTTGTGACTTCAGCCATACCGAGAGGTACTTGATGGGTGGAGCTCAGGGAGGTATGAACTCGGGGATGGGTTCATATCATACCAGTAGGCACAGATATTTTGATACTAAGGCAAGGGGTCGTTGCTGATTTCTATCTTTTCTTCCTCAGTCACCCATTTATTTCTATTCTGATATTTGACCCAGGGCCATTCCCCACCTCTCTGTCCTCTATGTTTCACCCAAGCCTCAGCAGCACCTTTCAGCAGTGGCTTTCACTGAATGTGTGGCGAGGTGGGCGCTTATCCTTGCATAGTCCTTGAGCACCAGCTATTTGGTTGCAGCTGATTTTCTCTGGACCTGGACATAACCTTCTGTGCCATGTTCCTGTGCCTCCAGCAGCCAAAGTCCTATGGAAAGCCATTTGCAGAGGATTGTGTTGGGGACTCTGCCTCTCCTCCCTGTGCTATACCCAATCCTTGCATCCTTGGTGCTCATGAGGCCTCCCCAAATCCTTGAGCTGACCAGGTTCAGCACTGCATAGCAGGCACTTCCCTGCCGAGAACTAGCCCCCCTCATTTCTGCCAGCAGCCCCAGGTAATAATTACTGGGTATGTCAGACACATTTGTGAGATTGCTGCCTCTTCACACCAAAGACTACGTTTACTTCATCAACATTTCTCTTCTTTCAGGTTGTTGGCATGGAGCCGAGGCCGAGGAGGCTCCTGAGCAGAGTGCTTCTGTAGGACTGTGCAGTTCAAACGTTCAGCAACACCAGAAGCAGCACTGTGGAGAGAAATCCTTAAAAAGACAAGAGGGCAGGGTCCCAGTTTTGAGGAGTTGCAAGGTTCAAGTATCAGAGAAGTCCTTGCAAAGCTGGGAGATTGGGAAGGACCTCCCGACCAGCTCAGTTATTCTCAAGCACCGGGTGACTCACACGGGAGAGAAGTCACATAGGAGCTCCAAAAGTAGGGAGGCCTTTCATGCTGGAAAAAGGCATTTCAAATGCAGTGAATGTGGGAAAGTCTTTGGTCAGAACTATTTACTTGTTCAGCACCAGAGACTACACACTGGGAAAAAGCCTTATGAATGCAGTGAATGTGGGAAGTTATTTAGAGATATGTCCAACCTTTTTATACACCAAATAGTTCACACTGGAGAAAGGCCTTATGGGTGTAGTGACTGTGGAAAATCCTTTAGCCGTAATGCTCATCTCATTGAACACCAGAGAGTTCACACTGGAGAAAAGCCTTTTACATGCAGTGAATGTGGAAAAGCTTTCAGGCATAATTCCACACTTGTTCAGCATCACAAAATCCACACTGGAGTAAGGCCTTATGAGTGCAGTGAATGTGGAAAATTGTTTAGTTTCAACTCCAGCCTCATGAAACATCAGAGAGTTCACACTGGAGAAAGACCTTATAAGTGCAGTGAATGTGGAAAATTCTATAGCCACAAGTCCAACCTTATCAAACATTGGCGTGTTCACACTGGAGAAAGGCCTTATGAGTGCAGCGAATGTGGAAAATTTTTTAGCCAAAGCTCAAGCCTTATGCAACATCGAAAAGTTCACACTGGAGAAAAACCTTTTAAGTGCAATGAATGTGGGAGATTTTTTAGAGAGAATTCCACCCTTGTTAGACATCAGAGGGTTCACACTGGAGCAAAGCCTTATGAGTGCAGGGAATGTGGGAAATTTTTTAGCCAAAGCTCAACCCTCATGCAACATCGAAAAGTTCACATTGGAGAAAAGCCTTTTAAGTGCGATGAATGTGGGAGATCGTTTAGAGAGAATTCCAGCCTCATTAAACATCAGAGAGTTCACACTGGAGCAAGGCCTTATGAGTGCAGGGAATGTGGGAAATTGTTTCGCCACAACTCCAGTCTTTTTAAACATCGAAGGATCCACACTGGAGAAATGCAATGATTGTGTGAAATCCTTTAGCCAGCGTTTCAACCTCATTCAACACCAGAAAGTTCACAGTGGAAAAAAGTCCTGAAGATAACAGATGGAAATCCCTTAGTCACACCTACAATCTCATTCAACACTGGACAGTTCGCAAAGCGGACAATGTAGTGAGTATAGAAAAGGGTTTCAGCCAAAGACCTAACCCTATTCAACACCAGAAAGTTTAGAGAGAGGAGAAAGGCCTTAGGGTGGAGAAAGGCCTTAGGGTGGCGGGTTATATACTGTCTCTGAATCAATATGACCTCACTTAAAACAGAAACTCTGAGGATGGCCTTTATGAGGGAGCTGGCAATTGAACATCATTCATCTAAATATGCACACTGGAGGCAGGATGAGAATTCCTGACAGATTGTCCTTCCTGAGAAGATAGCCCTCCGCCTTGGAGCTCCGGAGAGAGGGAACCCTGTATTCTTGGCTGCAGCAGTCGAATGGAGTTTTAATCTCGCTGAGTTTGGAGTTGGGGGAGGAAAGGAGTGGTCTTGGTTCAGATGTGACTGACTTTTGCTGTTCTTATGAATGTTAGATCTTTAATAAATATTTATTTGCCGTACACCCTTGTGACCATTTCCAGAGACTGAATTGCATTTTTATAATTTTCACCCTTTTGGCTGTATAACAGGACTGCAAAGTTCCTCACTCAGTTATTCTGTAAGTGGATCCAAATGTTTGAAATTTTAAAAGCTTGCCAAATTGTGTTCTAAATGGTTAGCATTTCATATTCCCTCCTGGAATATATTAGATTTTCCATTTCTTCACATTACTGACAATTTATATATATAGAAGTCATAGGCCATTCATTTTAGCCATTTTACTAAGTGTGCACTAGTATTTCATTGTAGTTATTTTTCCAATGACTCAGTTTTGAGCATTTTTTTTAATGTGCTTACTTGTCAGTCATATATCTTCGTTAGTAAAATGTCTGTTGGTATTTTTTACCTGTTTTTTAAAACATTTGGTGGTTACAAGTTTTTAATATTTCTGGAGACAAATCCCTTATTTGATATAAGCATTGCCAATGTTTTCTCACGGTCCGTGGCTTTTGTTTTCTTTTTTAAAATTTAGAGATGAGGTCGTGCAATGTTGCACAGACTAGTCTCTAACTCCTGGCCTCAAGTGATCATCCTGCCTCAGCCTCCCAAAGTGCTGGGATTACAGGCATGAGCCACCATGCTTGGCCTTGTTTTCAGTTCTTAACAGTATCTTCCCTAGAGCAGATTGTCTTAATTTTATGAAGCCCAGTTTATCCATTTGTTATTTTATTCATTGTGCATTTGGTGTTGTATTCTTACTATACCACATATTTGCCTATAAATAAAAGCTTTATGTGAGTATGCTACTGTAGTCTTAAGAATCTTTTTAAATACCCAACTTCTGAAATATTTGTAGGTTTAACTACATATAAAGAATTTGAAGTATAGATAAATGTGTACATATTCCCTGTCTTTACTGAGACAGCCTAGCAAGCCATGGCATTCCAGTAGCTTGAGCATATTTAGTACCCAGTTACTGGTTTATATAATTTTTTAATAAAAAGAACCAGAACTCCTTAGAGAAGAGGCTGTTTTCAAGTTGTGGCAGAAAAGGTACAACATGATTTGAGGAAATACTGCATTGGAAAATAAAGAAATGCTTACAGAATAATGTTGATGTATTAGCTTTCTATTGCTATCCCGACAAATCACAAATTTATGGTTTAAACAACACAAATATATTATCATATATATAACAGAGGTCTCACTGGGTTAAAATCAAAGTGTTGGCATGATTGTGTTCCTTTCTAAAGTCTCAGGGAGAATCTGTTTCTTGCTTATTTCAGCTGTTAGCATATTTAAGTTCTTTGTGGTTGTAGGACTGAGATTCGTTTTTCTTGATGGCATCAGCTGAGGGTCATCCCTAGAATATGTAAGAAGTTTTATGAAATATTAAATGAAGAAGTAATACCAATTGTATACAAACTCTTCCAAAAAGACAAAGGTTCAAACAATTCTGGACTACATGAAAGTTAGCATTAACAGGACACTAAAGCACGCAATGACATTAGACAAAACTATAGACCAATAACCACATGAAGACACGGAGCCTTAAGAAAGTTTTAGCAAATTGAGGCACTTGTCCATCAAATCACCCCTTTGGGTCTCTTCCAAGCATACTTGCCTTTCTTTCCTGTTCTAAAGGCTTTTAAAATAAACTTGCACTCGTGCTAAAACAAAACAAAAAGACATTTAGCAAATTGAATCCAGCCATATACAAACAATAGTAAATCATAACCTAGTGAGGTTTATCAAGAATACAAATTTGGTCAAACAATTCAAACTCTTTCTTAATCTATGTTAACAGAGTAAAATGAAAATCTCAAAATGTAATAAAAGCATTTTACAAAATTCAAAACTAGGTTATGATACACGCAGCAAACTAGAACAAGATGGTTATTTCTTCCACCTGATACAGCACATCTATGAAAAACAGCTAACAGCACATTTGATATATATGTGATCAAATATTTGATAAGCTGATGTTCCCCAACATTAGGAATAACGTAAATATGTCAACATTCATCACTTCCCATTAAAAAAAAAAATCTATTGTAAAGGCAGAACCCAAACTGTCTTTATTTATATATGACCTGATAATGTTGGAAATTCTAAATTATCTACTAAACAGCTACTAGATCTAATAATTGAGTTTAGCAAGGTCCTAAGATAAAAAGGCCAATGTATAAAAAGTAGGTGTCTCTATAGTAAGTTGGTATATAGCTAGCAAATACATGCTTGGCAACTGAAAAAAAAGTACTTCGCAATAGCATAAAAATATGAAATATTTAGAAATAAATTTAACAAAATATGTTCAAGAACTTTAAAATATTCCTGAGAGACATTAAAGAAGGCATAAATAAATGACACAAGAAGTTCCTGAATCTGAGCCTTGATACTTCTAAGTTGTCAGTTTTCCTTTAACTGTTCTATAGGTTGAGACAATCCCGATGAAAACCTAATCTTTTAAATACAAATTTACAAATGTATTCTAAAAAGTTACATGGAAATACAAAAGGCCTAGACTAATTGCCAAAACAATTTTATAAATAAGAATAAGTCTGAAAATCTTTATGACTTCAAGACATATAAAGGTACAGTAATTGAGAGGGTACAGTATTAGCTAAAGGACGGACATAGAAATGAACAGAAGAGAATAGAGAACCCAGAAATACACTCACACAACAATCTATTGTCAATCTCTTCAACAAAGTTGCAAAAGTAGTAAAACAACTTCAGAAAACAGTGTAGCAGCTTTAAAGGTAGCATAACCTTACCATATAGCTTAGGAATCTTACCTATAGGGATATCCCCAAGAGAACAAAAACATATGTCCTAGAAATACACTTGCATGCTCAGCAGTTTTATTTATAAAACCCAAACACCAGAATTTGTTTTTAAAACACACACACACGCACAAACTAAAATGTCCATGAACAGAAGAATGAATAATCAATTATGGCATATCCTTAACATAAAATACCATTCAACAAGATAAAAGAATAAACTATGAATACAAGCAAAAACAGCATAGATAAATCTGAAAAGCCCTGAGCTAAGTGGAAGAAGCTAGACACAAAAGTTGACATCCAGTATCATTCCATTTATATGAAATGAAGAAGCTGCAAAACTAGAGTAAAAGAATGCAGATCGGCCGGGCGCGGTGGCTCAAGCCTGTAATCCCAGCACTTTGGGAGGCCGAGACGGGCGGATCACGAGGTTAGGAGATCGAGACCATCCTGGCTAATACAGTGAAACCCCGTCTCTACTAAAAAAAAAAATACAAAAAACTAGCCGGGCGAGGTGGCGGGCGCCTGTAGTCCCAGCTACTCGGGAGGCTGAGGCAGGAGAATGGCGGAAACCCGGGAGGCGGAGCTTGCAGTGAGCTGAGATCCGGCCACTGCACTCCAGCCTGGGTGACAAAGCGAGACTCTGTCTCAACAAAAAAAAAAAAAAAAAAAAAAAGAATGCAGATCACTGGTTATTGAGCCTGGGGTCTGAGGGGGAAGGTTCTGACTGAAAGAGTACAGGAAAATAATATCAGGCAATGGCAATTTTTTCTATCATGACTGTTGGTGGTTTCATGACAGTACAGCTGACCCTTAAATAACACAGGTTTGAAATGCACAGGTCCAATTATATGTGAATTTTTTTCAATAAATATATTGGATATATATTCTTGAATATTTGAGACAATTTCAAAAAACCAGAATTCGTTGAAATAGGTATACCAAGAATGCATAACATAAAATATATGTAGCTTCTATTTTATCATTTACTACCATAAAATATATATAAATCTGTTATAAAAGGTTAAAATTAGTCAATAGTCACACAAACACAGACTGTACATGGTGATCCCAGAGAAATGTAAACAAATGTAAAGATACAGTATTAAGTCATAATCGTGCATGTGTGTGTGTGTGTGTGTGTTTTAATAGCGTCTCCCTCTGTCACCCCGGCTGGAGGGCAGTGACATGATCATAGATTGCTGCAGACAGAAATTCCTGGGCTCAAGTGATCCTCTTGCCTCGGCCTCCCCAACAGCTGAGACCACAAGCACGTGCCACCACACTGGCAAATTTTTAAATTTTTCTGTAGAGGCTGAGTGTGGTGGTTCACACCTGTAACCCCAGCACTTTTGGAGGGTGCATGGGTCTCAGAAATTTGAGACCAGCCTGGGAAATATAGTGAGGACCCATCTCCACAAAAAAAAAAAAAAAAAGAAAAAGAAAAAGAAAAATTAGCTGGGTATGGTGCCACCCACCTGTGGTTCCAGCTATTCAGGGGGCTGAAGTGGGAATATCACCTGAGCCCAGGAGATCGATTTTGTAGCCATCTCCTGTTGCTCACAGTGTTGTGAGTATTCACTTAAAGAAACTCGTGATGTTAATCATCTCCACGTGAGCAGTTCATCACTCCAGTAAATCACATATTGCAGTAAAAAGTGATCTCTCAAGGTTCTAATATATTTTTCATAGTATTTAGTGCGATATTGTAAACTTTAAATAACACTGTGAGGCCTATATGAAGTGCCAATAGTGATGCTGGAAGTGCTTCCAAGAAGCAGGGAAAAGTCATGACATTACAAGAAACAGCTGAATTGTTTTGTACTGTATGTACAAATAGACTGTACATATGTACTATAGATTGAGGTTTGCAGCTGTAGTTGCCCACCATTTCAAGATAAATTAATCCAGTATAAGAATCATTGTTAAAAACAAACAAACAAAAAAGGAAATAAAGACATTGCTGTGGCTATGCCCGCAGGCATGAAAATCTTGCACTTTCTGCAAAATATATTTTTATCTTATTTGAAAATGCAGCTTTCATGTGGGTGCAGAATTGCCATGGGAAAGGCATACAGAGAGACTCGATAATGGAAACAGTCATTATATGACAACTGAAAGCAAAAGGAAGGTGAAAGATCTAAAGCTGGAGAATTTAATGCCAGCAAGGGATAGTTTGATAATTTTAGAAAGATGTTTGGCTTTAAAAATGTCAGGATCAAGGCTGGGTGTGGTGGCTCAAGCCTGTAATCCCAGCACTTTGGGAGGCTAAGGCGGGCGGATCACAAGGTCAGGAGTGTGAGACCAGCCTGACTAACATGGTGAAACCCCCTCTCTACTAAAAATACAAAAATTAGCCATGCTTGGTGGCGCATGCCTGTAATTCCAGCTACTCAGGAGGCTGAGGCAGGAGAATCGCTTGGACCTGGGAAGCGGAGGTTCCAGTGAGGAGAGTTGTGCCATTGTATTCCAGCCTGGGCGACAAAGCGAGAGTCCATCTCAGGAAAAAAAAGAAAAAGAAAAAAAAGAAGTCAAGATAGTAGAAGAAGCAACTTCTGCCAACCAAGAGGCAGTCAACAATGTCTCAGGTGCCATTAAGAGAATCACTGACAAGAAATTATATCAACCTGAACAGGTGTTTTGATTTTTTTGTTTGTTAGTTTATTGGTTTTTGTTTTTGTTTTTGTTTTTTTGAGACAAGAGTTTTGCTCTTGTCTCCCAAGCTGGAGTGTAAAGGTGCAATCTTGGCTCACTGCAACCTCTGCCTCCGGGCTTCAAGCGATTCTCCTGCCTCAGCCTCTGAAAGTATCTGGGATTACAGGCACCCACCACCATGCCCAGCTAGCTAGCTAGCTATTTATTTACTTATTTTTGTGATGGCGCCTCACTCTGTTGCCCAGCCTGGAGTGCAGTGGCGCGATCTTGGCTCACTGCAACTCCCGACTCCCAGATTCAAACAATTTTCTGCCTCAGCCTCCCGAGTAGCTGGGATTACAGGCGCTCGCCACCATGCCT